GTTTTCCAGTTTCAGATCTGCTAGTATATCAATGCTTCCATCCTTGCAGCTCTAATTCCTTGAGTGGATTAAACTCTCTTCAATCTCCTTGGTCAACTAATTGCATTTTTCACCTCTGGGTGATATGCTGGGTGGTCTTTTGTCAACTCAGCATCATCTTTAGTTAGTATCAGCAAAGGCAGGAACTACATTTCCCAGAATCTCTTTCCCAATATGGGAAATGAGGGGCACTTGCTCAAAATTTAGAAGGCCGAACAGGAGGAGACCATTGTTTTCCAGAGTCAATTACAGGAAGACGTGTGGGCAGATAAAGGGCCAAAGCTGCTTCCAGATAAACTGCCTTTCTGTTGCTTAGACAGCTGATGAGGGTGGACTCCCGGCGAAGCTGATGAAGTTTGAACTTCAGGGCTCCTTTCTGGCATGACCCCTTTCTAGGATTCTGGGAGTGGCTTTAGCACGCTTGCATTCATAATTTTACTTTTTTTTTCTTTCTTTTTTTCTGAAAGAGAGCCCTCTAAATTGGATATGCTGTAAGGCTCACAAAACTTGGCTCTAGTCCTGAAGAGTTCAGAGCCTCCCAGAGAGCTTGTGTCTCCAGGCGTTTGAAGAGTGCTCCTGAAAACCAATGGCTTAAGGTCTTGGGTTAGGAATCTTCACCGGAGCCTCTGACTTTCTCTTCCCCTATCTGTCCAACATGTGTAGAAGCTCTAAATCCAAGAGCCACTAGGAACTGAGTGGCTTTTTGTTTTTATGACCAAACCAGTCAGTGCTTAAAAATGACTGCTGTCAATAGTTGGATTATGATTCTTCTTTTGTTCCATTTAATCTCCAATATAATAAATAACATTTCTTTACACTAGAAATAATAGAAAAACAATTATTCACATACTTAGAAAAAGCCTTAGAGTAAGCTCCATCTTGATCAACACTGAATCCTCAATGTAGCGTTTTGTTTAGCACAGTGTGAGCTTAGTAAATGTGTGCCAATGAGTGAGTGAAGGAATGTATGACTTGATGAGCATTTGTATTCAAGTTGATCTCTTGTTATGATTATTAAAATAATATAGACCATGTTTGTTCTATTGAAATCTCTAGATTTATTTAGCCCAGTATCAAGAACTCCCAGCTGCTAAACTACTTTTTTTGGATGAAAGTAAGTAGATTCGGGAGCCAGTCCAGCTCAAATTCTAGGAAATTCCAGGATGCATCTGTAATTATGTTAGGGTCTTCCAGAGGTTCAAGGCCACACCTGTTAGTTATGAATTATTTTCCAAGGGTGAATATATATATATATATATACACACACACACACACACACACACACACTCACACACATATAGATATATATCTATACATACACACATATATACATATATATGTATATGTATATCCTATTAAAAAAAAACCTATTATGCAAATCGACTGAATGGTGGAATGACCAGTCACTATGACAAATACCACCGGCGGCAGATGCTCAACACAGGAGCTTCCCCTTGTGGTCAGTGTACTCCCAGAAGCTGGGCTCACTGCTGGCGAGCACAGCAGTGGTGGTGGCGGGAGCCTCTCCTGCTTCCACTGCAGGAGGGTGGTAGGGAACAAGGGGTCCCAGGCTGTGAGAGGGATGTTTGACTGCTGGCTTATGCCCAATCCACTCCGGAAGGTGGACATCCCCCAAGGGATCCCAGACTGCAAGAGGGCACAGACTGGGTCAAGGCTCCTCCCACCCAGTGCAAAATGTCTTGCCCTGGGCCTCTAATATATATCCTACCTAATAAAAGAGCAATATGCAAATTAACCACCACTCCGCTACACCCACCAGCCATGCCCACCAGCCAATCAGAGCGAGTATGCAAATAAACACAACCAAGATGGCTACAGCCACAGAGAGCAAGAGGGAGGCTTGGGTTTCCCAGGAAATGGAGGAAGCCAAGCTTTCTGCCTGTCCTTGCAGGCCTAAGTCTCCATTCAAGGCTACAAAGTGTCAGTTATAGAAGGTAAACAAATCCAAACAGAAATGGCAGCAGCCACGAAGCTGGAAAGAGCTGGAAGCTAGGGTTGCTTCCGTCAATGGAGAAAGCCAAGCTTTCCACACACCCTGACTGGCCCCGGCCTTAACTCTAGGCTACAAAGTTTCAATTACAGAAGATACATAAATTCCAACAGAGCAAGCAGGAGATTTGGCTCCATTCCAGGCTACAAAGTTTCAATTGTAGAAGGTAAATAAATACCAGGGCCTCTGCTTTCCAGGGGGCATGGCTGGCCTGCAAATCACCACAGGCACCTCACTCAGGCCGCCCCACCCCCCAAGGGAATCCCCACCCTGATCCAGGACACCCTTCAGGGCAAACCAGTCAGCCCCCATCCATGCACCAGGCCTCTATCCTAATAAAAGAGTAATATGCGGATCATTCCAACACACAAAATGGCTGCCCCCATGTGGTCAAAGATCCTGCCACTATGTGAACACAAGATGGCCAGCAGGGGAGGGCAGTTAGGGGTGACCAGGCTGGCAGTTAGGGGTGACCAAGTTGGGGGCAAACAGGTTGGCAGGGGAGCAGTTAGACATCAATCAGGCTGACATGGGAGTGGTTAGGGGGTGATCAGGCTGGCAGGCAGAAGCTGTTAGGGGCAATCAGGAAGGCAGGCAGGCAAGCAGTTGGGAGCCAGCAGTCCTGGATTGTGAGAGGGATGTCCGACTGCCCATTTAGGCCCAATCCCACCGAATTTCATGCACCGGGCCTCTAGTGTATATATAATCTCTTTGTTTTTCCTGCAATCCAATTCTGCATAGTAAATAGTAATGATAATTATTTTGTTGGATAGAAAAGTCAATGGCCAGTCCTCAGGAGAATAAATCATGCTTATAATTCAAGTTTATGACTATAATCTTTTTTAAAAAAAATACATTTTATTGATTTTTTTACAGAGAGGAAGGGAGAGGGAGAGAGACTCAGAAACATCACTGAGAGAGAAACATCAATCAGCTGCCTCCTGCACATCCTCCACTGGGGATGTGCCTGCAACCAAGGTACATGCCCTTGACAGGAATTGAACTCAGGACCTTTGAGTCTGTAGAACGATGCTCTAGCCACTGAGCCAAACCGGTTAGAGCATGACTATAACCTTAAAAAATATTAAGAAGTGATTTAATCATGCTTAGAATTAGACCAGCATTTTAAAATTATTTTTAGACTAGCATTTTTAAGCACCCATATAATATTCTGTATGTTCTATTGAAATCAAACTAAAATAAAACTGAATCAAAATGAAACATGTAGGAGTTTGTAATTTTAAAACTATTGGTAAAGTACACGAAAAAGTAAAAAAAATCCCATGTTTTGCTATTCTTTTCTAAGAATTAATGAGTATTTTCCATGGCTGGAGTAAGACAGTAATAATGCAGGATGATTTCATAATTATTGGTAACGAATGTATTGATAAGTAATTAAGTTTGGAACAATTTGGTCTTTTTGTTTATTTTGGTTATTAAGCATTTACTGTGTGCCAGCTCTATGCTAGGTTCTGTGCTAACCAGTGGAAACATAATGAGTTACACTTGATACCTACCCTCCTGAGGTGGGGTAGACAGCCACAGATAATTCGGGGGATGGGGGGAGAGGGTTAATAGGTAAATGGTTTGGGGAAATAGGGAAGGGGGAGGGGAAAGGAGCTTTTGTGAGACCAGGCACTGGAGTAATCTATGATAATCTTATCTACTTTCCATAGCGCCTTTCAGAAACTCTCCTGAAGGAGGAAACCGGCTCTTGAATACCTAGCCCCATTTACTCGGTTAATAGGGAGCAGCACTAGAAATGTATGCCTACGCTTGCCTGGGCCTTAGAGCAAAGACCAAACCCTTCTGTATTCCACACAGGGCTTGGGTACTAGTCATACTCCCTCTGGCATGTGCATGGGTTAGCATAAGCCAGTCCATTCTCTAAAGGCCATGCTGGCTCTTTCGGCTGGGACAACGTTTATCGGGTGATTTCTCTCTGTACCTGTCATCCCCGAGGCCGAGGTGAGGCTCAGTTGCTGAAGCTTTCACCAGATGGCCCAGGCAACTGGAGTAGAAGGGAGGATGTGGATGTATTCAGATTTAAAAAAAAAAAAGAAAAGAAAAAGAAAGACATTACTTAAAACACATTAACAGCTCATTATTTGTCTCTTAAATGGGTGTCAATGAATTCTCCAAGGGCTGGACTTCCATGTCCTCCTCACCTGTGGGTTAGAGAGGTGAAATGATGCCATCAATGATCTTCCAGGAGTTAAGTTGTCAGTCTTAAGATTTTATTTTTTTTATCCATGCATGCCAGTCCTTCAATTGCTGTATCAAATAGTTTCCGGTGCTCGATAAAGGTTGAGTAAAAACAAGTGTTTGGGGGAGACGGGCGCAGCGTAATTTGGATGCCCTGACGCCTCTCCTAAAGGTCGGTTTCAGGTGGCCTCCAGGTCCCTGTGAAGAGATCTCCCCGCCCCTCTCCAGCCAAGGGACCGCAGGACGCACAGCTCCGGAGACCCCAGGGTGCCCTGCAATCCCCAGACCCACCCTCTTCCCCTTCCCTCCCCTCCCCGCCCGGCCCCATGCGCCCCGGTGCCCGGCGGCTGGGCGGGTAAGCAAAGGGCACCGGGCGCCTTTAAATGCTAATGAGAGCCGGTGCCCAACTCCGGAGCCAACTTTCCCCACCCTCTTCCCTCGCCGCCCGCCCTTCCCTTCCCTCCCCGGCCCCGTGCGCCGCCTAGAAAAACTTGCGCGGGGCCATTTTTGGGGCAGTAAGATCCGAGCGAGGAGCCCGAGAGCGTGCGAGCGCGCAGCCCGAGAGCTCGAGCCGCCTCCGCCGCGAGCCCCACCCCGGCCGCCGCCGCCGCCGCCGCCGCCGCCGCCGCCGCCGCGAGCCCCGCGCCGGCCTCCCCGAGAGCGCGCCCGGCCGCCGCGACCACCAGCCGCGCCAACCGCCCACCAACCGCCACCGACGCGCCCGACAGAGAGCCGAGGAGGCGGCATGAGCGAGGCGGGCGAGGCCACCACCACCACCACCGCCGCCACCACCGCCCTCCCGCAGGCTCCGGCGGAGGCGGCCGCCGCGGTCCCCCAAGACCCCGCGCCCAAGAGCCCGGGCGGCGGCGGCGGCGCGCCCCAGGCCGCGGCCACGGCGCCCGCGGTGCTCGCCGCGGGGAACCCGGGCGGGGACGCGACCCCCGCGGCCACGGCGCCCGCGGCCCCCGCCTCTTCGGCCCCCACCGGCAACGAAGACGCGGAGAAGAAAGTTCTCGGTGAGTCGTCAGGCCGTCTCCCCGGGAGCGTCGGGGCTGCCCCGGGCGGGGCGGCCGCCGCCGCCGAGCACGTGTGGGCATCTCTCCATCTGCGTTTCCCTCCGCCACTCCCTGCGGGGAGGGGGACGCCGTACGGGGCTGCCCGTGCGTCTGTACGGGGTTCCCTGTGCGTCTGTACGGGGTTCCCGGGACGTCCTACGGGGTTCCCGGGGCGTCCCGCGGGGGCTCCCCGGGCGCTGGGTCCCGGCGCAGGTGGCGCCGCCGCCGGCCCTGCGGGCGCTCCCAGGTGAGCGCCACGCGCTCTGCGCCCCTCGCCGGCCGGTGCGCGCCCCTCGGGGTCCCCCTGGGCCAGCAAGTTGCGTCCTAACTTGGGGGTGTGTGTGTGTGTGTGGGGGGGGGGTCCCTGTCGCGCATTCCCCAAGTGGGGAAGGCTTCCGTCCCCAGAGAAAAGGGGGCGGCTGTGTGGGAGGGGTCCCAGGGCGCGGATGGAGGTGGATGGATGGAGGAGATAGGAAGGGACACGTGGGACTGCGACTTTGTGGAGTTGGATGCTTGGGATCCGGGTGGGGGGGGGGGGGAGGATCTCCTTCTTTTGGGGGGAAGGGGGGGGTGAGTGAGGTGGCTGCCAGGAGCCGGAAGGGGAAGAGGGGAAAAGGCTTCCTGCTGGGAGGGAGGCTCAGGTGTCTGTCCCCGACGCCCTTCCCACTTTGGCTTTGGGGAAAGGCGCCATGCGTGTGTGGGCCACATGCTGGGAAGAAGGGAGGGGGGGCGGGTGTCGCAATCCTCTTGGGTCTGGGTTGCGTCCCTCCCTGCGCCCACTGCTGCGGGGAACCTGTTTAGCCATCGCTTCCCCCCCCCCCCCCCCTTTTGCTAATTCCCTGGCTGGGGGTGGGGGAAAACACGCGTTTGGTGTAGCAGCTGGAAAAACTTGGTAGGAAGAGTGGATGTGACGTCCGTTCTTAGGACTTGCAACCTGGGAAAGGAAGTAGGCAGATAAGACGTTCAAGACGTCCAGGTTCAAGGGGGCAGAGCAGCCAGAGGGTGGGTGCGGCCGTCGCTGGCATGTGCCACCTCCTCCAGCCTTGTCTCCGGGCGAGCCCCGTGTGGGCCCTTTAAAAACAGGCTTACACAACAGGTGGGTGGTGAGAAGCTTCCTCCAGGGTGTGTGTGCCTGTGGCACTCATTCACTCTCTTCTAAGCAGGCAAGTTAAAGGGATGGTGGTGTAGGGTCCTTCAGAGAGAACGTTTTCAGCATTCCGGGTGGGGTGTGTTGGATCTCTCCTGGCCTTTCCAGTTTTCTAGGAAGGGAATGAGTGTGAAGGAAGTAATAGAATTCCATGCTCCACTCCTGGAGAGGCCCTGTTTTCCCCTTTTCATTCCCAGGGCTTTCTCAGTTACTGCCAACAACAAGCTAAATGCAACCTGTGTAGGGTTAAGATATGCAATAGCCCTTATTTTGCCGAACTAAAAAGGCGTTGAAGCCTCGTTAGTGTTGAGTGGTGATATTTCCCACAAGTGTTTTCTTGGAACACTTCATACCAAATGTCAGAGTCAACCTTGGGTGATCCAAAGGGGTGTTCAGATACCTCCTTTTTTTCCCTTCCTTTTTTCCTTTTCGGTTGTTCACAGGGAATTTTGAGGTTTTTCGCTGCATCCATCTACCCTTTTGGATCCGAACTAACCTTTGGGATTGTTAAAGATGAAGGAAACAGATAGTTAATTTTGTCAACCACACCCCCGCTTGCTGTTAGCCTCTGCCACATCCTGGTGACCAGTCTGGAAGTCTTTCATCTTTCCACTATGACTCCAGCTCTCAGAATGACATCTTAACAGCTTGTCTCCGTCCACTTTGTTCTGCCATCCCCTTTCCTTTGCCAGGCAAACACATGGATGCCTACGATGTGTCAGGCACAGGGCTGACTGAAATGGAATTTGGGTTTTGGAATTCTAGTTTTTTACAAACAGTCTTTAACTTCATTGGACATAACAGCCAACCACAGGCCAGGAAAAGTTAGTTTACCGGAGGAAAACCAGATTCCCTTCCGATGAAAAGCCATAGGATCTTCCTCTGTCTCCTCTTCACCCAGTGTGTACGTGAGTGGGTTTACGGTTTTAAGGCAAGAAGCTTATATGAATGTGTTTGCCATATGAAGTCCATTGGAAGTATTTGTGGAATTAGGAAACATTTTTAAAACTACATCGAGGGGTAAAATAACCTTCAGCCTTGATTGTCGTTAGACTTGAAAATCATTTTTTTTTTTAATCTTTTCCCCTATTCTATTAATATTGTCTTTCTAGTCAAGGTTTTTCCTTTGACAGTGGTAGACATTTACTTATATGAAAATGAGTCAGAAACGGCTTTATTTATATTTTCCTAGGTCACTAGGGCAAATGAAAGGAGGCACAATGACAAGTCGTTTGAAACAATGAGTGGCTGCAAAGCATATGGTTTATCAAAAACAGGCCACTTCTGTGCACATTTGGATCTAAAACATAACTTTTTTTCCTTCTTGGCCCTACTGCTCTAGTTCGAATGGCCTAAAACTGCAGCTTTAAAGGTTTAATCTCTTCACTGCGAGATCTTCCTTCCTTGGTGTCAGCCAGAGATTGCTCAGTCAGCAGTGGGCTGAATGACTCTGGAGGCATAAAGAATATAGTTTTTGTTTTTTTCCCCTCTTCTTATTACAAAGAGAGCTAAAATATTTCCTCAAGCATATCAATCTAGCAACACTCAGAGTTAACCCTGCCCACAGCAAAGCAAGTCCCAATTACTGTTTTAGTTCTGAGTTAAAAGAACTGTATCCTTATTGCTTATCCTTGCAAGTTAATCTCATAGAGAGGCAGCATGAATTAATGTTGTTACTTTCATTCTCTGCTATGTTTTTTTTTTCTTCTTTTTTTCCTTAAGGTACTTGATTGTCACATTTCCTGGTTCACTGAGTCTTGATACTTGCTTTATACATTTTTCTGAATTTAGGCATAGGCATTTCCTAGAGATGCTGAATTTGACATTCACAGTTGACTTAAAGGAGCCATCTCAAATTGTACGTGATGGCTGAAATAATTATGACTCTGCAAAGCACAACATATGTGACCATACTATTGGGCTTTCTCTTAAATTCTGTTGAAATCTGGGGTACAGAAGTGGTCCTACCCATGATGCAAAGTCAGGCCCATAATCAAGTTTAAGAGGGAATTTTATAGAAAACTCTGGGTTTTGATTCCCACCAACTGCAGAGAGGAGGGTAAACAATGAAACAGAAGCCCAAATTCATCGCCGTGGTTTGAAAAGGCCTGTTACATCATGTCTCAGGGTGGTGAGTACAGAACCAGGTTGAGACAGCACCAGTTCTATTATTATTCTTGACTCTGATAGGCCCCAACTGGCAACTAGACAGGCTACTTTATGTTATATCTTTGTAGATTAACTAGGAGCTACGATTTCACTTCATAAAGTTTGCCAGTACTTCAAAGTGTGCATGCAGTGTGTTAAGGTCAATTGTACTTACCTTGTTCATCTACCTGCATTCTCTTTCATTGTGACCCTGGTTTTGCACTAATAACATTTTTCAGCCTTAAAATTTAAAAGGGCTTCTCCCCCCCCCCCCCCCACTTTGAACAGAGTTTCTCAATTTTAGTTATTGCAGAACTAAATAGACTTATGACCACCCATATCTTATGACTTTACTGAAAAATTTAATAGGGAAGATTCTGAAAAGTATTTTTCCCATAATATCTTCACTTGCTCCATTTTCTTTTTCTATTATGTTTTGGACTTAAGCTTTTCCTGGTTTCCTCGGGTATGTTTAGGCTTTGTATAATGCTATCAAGACCTTAAGTGATATGAGCTTTATCTGGGTAGGTCAGCTACTAATTTATCCGCTTAATCTATTTTAGCCACCAAAGTCCTTGGCACTGTCAAATGGTTCAACGTCAGAAATGGATATGGGTTTATAAATCGGTATGTATGTCTCTACAAGTTTTAAATACATGCTTATGTTGTGGTACCAATTGTTATAATTTTTTTTTTTTTTTTTTTTTTTTTTTTTACCATACTTGATTAGTGACTTGTATAAGTTTTAAGATTTGCAAACATTATCAGTATTCTCATTTCTAAGCTACCGGTCATTACCAGAACACTGATAAGTAACTTATTTTATAAAATTGAACCATTAAAAGAAAAAAGGGGTGGGGGCGATAAATCAGAAGTGGGAAGAGCCTCCGGTAATGGAGTCCATACCCACAATCTCAGAGATGGAGAAACAGAGGCTTAGACTGGTCAGGCAACTTTCCTGGGTCACACAGCGAGTGTGTAATTGAGCTGGAACTATCGCCCAGGTCTAGGCCAAGTGCCGTGTAGAAACTAGTGTTTTTCTTTAAGCCATGGTAACTCCTAACCATATAGGAATTATCGTGTAAGTGCAGGCTGTTGGGAGTGTTACATTTTCGCACGATCCTGTCATTTGCTTGGCTCCCCCTCCTACCTCGCTCCCCCATTCTGAAACCCTACCCCGCCCCCCCGCCCCCCATTTCTGTTTTGGTGAGAGTGGGGGAGATGAGTTAGGGTGGGGTGATGTTGGGGTGGGGGGTGGGTGACTGTTTTTGGTTTCAGTGTAAGGAGAGCCTAGAGCACAGCTGTGCCTTGTCCTTTTAACTGTCTTGCCTTGCTTTAGCCCGGAGGGAAATCCGGGGCTCTGATTACATACCACGTGGCTTAGAAAGCGATGAGAGGAAAGGGACAGTGCAGTGTGTGGCATCTGTGCACAGGCATCTGAGCACTGTGGTAATGTGGAGGAGCAAGGTGGGTGCCTTGGGGGTTTGGAAGTTCTCCGTGAGGGTTGAGTTCCAGGCATCTGAATTGAGTTTGGAGGATAAACAAAAGTTTGTGTTGTGCTTTGAAACCTAAACTCTTAATGCATTTGCTCTTTTTAAAGGTTTCCTTCGCATACCTAGTACCTTTTCATTGTGGTTTTTTTTTTTTTTATCTTCCAACAGAAATGACACCAAAGAAGATGTATTTGTGCATCAGGTAAGTGTGGGGGGGGGGATTAATAAATGTTACATTTATACGTGAAAAGTGGGGTGTTGATAATGTGCTGTTTCCCATTCCCACATGTAGTCATGTACATCATCTTCTACCCCAAACGTTTTTTTTGAAGTTTTTTAATTTGGAGAGTATGTGTATTGAAACTGGGAGCAGTAAAACGAGGAAGGGCCTAGGGTGATAGGAGGAGCCACAGGGGAGCCTGGGCTGGGCTGCCTTGGCTCTGCAGAAATGTGATGGGGAAGAAGGGAGCCAGGGCGGGGCTGCCTTCAGCTCTCTGGAGAGGCCTCAGCTCTCTGGAGAGGCGGGCAAAAGGGTGCCTTGGAGACAGGTTCGTGTTAGCCCAGGACGTTAGCCCAGGACGAGCTGCCGCCACCCATTGCTCTCCTGGTTGCAAGTGTCCGGGGTCCCTTACAGTTTGGGAGATGCACGCCTTTGCACGTCCATTCCCGTGGGTGTGCTCCTGGGAGAAAAATGCACGCTGCCCTGAACTCTTTCTGTGATTCTTATTTTGGCAGGAGAGCTCAATTCCACATAGTAAGATTGGCAGATAAGCTCTTCTGTTCCATCAGCGTAACTGTTTTCCAACAGTTTTTATTTTCCAATGGCATGAGGTCATATTTAGTTAGGCCACTCTTTCACTTTTGGACCCTTTGAGTCCTCAGCAGAACCGTCGTTTCTGTGTTGGGGTGTTCTGCTCTCCTGACTGTGGTTCCCCTTAGCGTTTGGCCAGGACCCATTTAGCTTTTGCCTGGGTGGGTGTTGGTTAAGGCTCCTCTGTCAGAGCAGCTCTCATTTGAAGAAACCAGCACAGCAAAGCAGATGGTTAGGGTGTGTGTGTGTGTGTGTGTGTGTGTGTGTGAGAGAGAGAGAGAGAGAGAGAGAGAGAGAGAGAGAGAGACACGTGAGGAAACTCCCCATTCCCAGGACGCGTCCCCACCCCTGTGAAAGGTAGGCATGGTTAGCACATGGCCAGGTCAGAAGGCCCACACTGCCTTAAAAGCGAAGCAAATGTAGAAAATGGGTAACATATGGGAAACACGGGCGTCTCTGCTGCAGGGCCTCAGTCTTCCTTTACATTAGTGGCCTAGGATGTTCTTCATTCTGTTACCAGGTACCCCGGACTTATTTTTACAAAGGAGGTGAAAACATACCTACCCTTACTATTTTTTTTTGTATATTCAGTTTTCAATGAATTGTCCCAAATATGTGTGTAGTTCCTAGTGTGTAGCAGGGAAGCAGAGAGGCAGGTACTATCACCAGCATATTTACCTTCAGGGCTCTGTCAAGCATCTGGTTTTCAATGTTTTTGTTCCCTTCTCTTTAGGGGTGTGTGTGTGTATGTGTGTGTGTGTGTGTGTGTGTGTGTGTGTGGCGGGGGGGGAGGGGGGAAGTGGAGGGGGAGGAGGAGGTGTGTGGTGACTGGAGATAGTGCTAGTTAAGAAGAAGCTCCCTGGTTGTGGTTTTTATTGTTTACGTGTTCACTTGACTGGATGTATTTCAGTTGTACCTAGATGACTTGGGTAGATTTTTGTTGTTGTTCACATACACGCACGTTTAAAGTCATAGCAGACTGACAGGAAGTGTTGCTTATAATACCGAGGAGTGAATAGACCAGTGAATAGACCGTTGGGGAAGGGACTCAACGTCGGGGGAGTGCTGGAGTACAAGGACCTCACAAGTTTCTGTGCTGGTGGCCAGCTTTGTTGGCCTGTGAGTGAGCCGTGTGACCCGATTCCAGCCCCTGTGAGGCTGTGTGGTGAGTCACCTCCCTGTGCTGAGGCCTGCCCAGTCTAACAGGAAAAGGGGAAGGAGCCGGCAGGGAGGGGCTGGCTTTGGAATGGCTGAGTGTTGGGCGGGCTGCAGGCTGCGTGCGCACATATCCTGTCCTGAACTGCCTTCTTCCTCTGTGGGTGAAGTCTCTGCTCTGTTGGCTCACTCTTTTATTTTTTTTTTTCCCCTCCCTCCTACTCAAGAGTAAGGGAAGGGCTGGATTACACATGCCTAATCGCTTTATAAAATAAGGTTGACCTAGTTCCATAGAAACTCAGAGCCCCTTTAACCATTTAGAGATACCAGCTGAAGAAATGGAGGTTCCTTGCAGGAGTTATTCCACTTCCCTCTGCTGGTGGAACAAGAAAGGTCTGCTCACAAGCAGATGTTGAGGTGCAGATGTTTAATGCAGGGAAACATCTTTATTAAACCTTTTTAATGTGTTGTCGGGGGCACAGCATGGTGTAACGGGGAAGATATTGAATACATATGTAGAGGCAGTACAGGTATAAGAGTTTCCCCACTTACCCCCCCATCCACGCTCTCCCCCGCTGCATCTTGAATATGGCCTTGGATACTTCACTCTTAGCCTCATGTTTCCTCATCCATGAAATGGGGGCAGGTCAGGAGAAAGGCCAGATTATCAGGAACGTTCTGATTCCTGAGGTGACTTTGCATATTTTATCAGAAATATTCACACCGTGGCATTTTCTAATTCATTTTTCCTGTTCACGATTCCTCCTCCCTTTCACACACATTCTTTAATATTTTTTAAAAATATTTTTATTAATTTCAGAGAGGAAGGGAGAAGAGAGAGAGAGTTAGAAACATCAACGATGAGAGAGAATCATGGATTGGCTGCCTCCTGTACGCCCCATATACTGGGGATCGAGCCTGCAGCCCAGGCATGTGCCCTGACCAGGAATGGAACCATGACCTCCTGGTTCATAGGTCGATGTTCAGCCACTGAACCACGCCAGCTGGGCTCTTTAATACCTTTTGAGGTTAGCAGCTTCTCTTGTCTACAGAAACTTTTATACCTAAAATGTGTGCTTGGGTGTGTAAGACTTCATAAAGGATCCCCACTCCCGCTCCCACTGAAAGAGCTACTGTCTGAGTCTTCCGTGATTACTAGTTTGAGGGGACTAATATATCCCATATCACGACTAAGTGTAACAGAGTACAACTACACAATCTGTTTTTTTTTTTTTTTATAGTGTTTTTTGTTTTGTTTTATTATTTTGGAGATTCAGGTTAATAGGAGAATGATAATTTTAAAAAGGAATAAGTCACCTGTGTCTTCAATATATCCTGTAAAGTTGAAGCAATGAAATGTTACCAGTATTGACATATACTTTACTTAGAATTTCTCCTCTTATAGACTGCCATCAAGAAGAATAACCCACGGAAATACCTGCGCAGTGTAGGAGATGGAGAAACTGTGGAGTTCGATGTGGTCGAAGGAGAGAAGGTGAGAGGGTTGGGCTGGGTCTCAGAGAATGCTGGCACTTAAGTTTTCTTGCAAAGAGGAAGGGAGAAGAGAAAGAGAGTTAGTAAATGCAGAGTAAATGCTCTCTCGGCCCCTTACAAACTCACATTCCTTTGGGTATTTTTGTGTTAGTTTAACACATTACTTTGGATGTTTTTGTGTTTAAAAAAAGTTAAAGAAGTGACTTTTAAGTAGAAATATTTTTGATTATTGGATGTAATTATAAGCATTCTTTGACATATAATCAAAGGATGTTTTAATTTCTCATTGAATAAATGATGAAATTTATTTAATTATGGGAGGAAAAGCGAATTTTAAATGGGGTGAAATTTGACTTATACAAATAATATTTTCAGGCTGTGATTTTTTTTTTTAATAACACAAATAATACACAGTGAAGAATGTTTTAATCTCAGAGAAGATTTCAGTTGAATCTTTGGGTTAGGTTTTGGAAAGCTGGAGGCTTTTTGATGGACTATATAACAGCTTTATTCAGATGATGCTAATTTGTCATCTTGAAATGTACCTGGATATTTTTAATGCTGTTATATAATATCGTTCCAATATTAGTAATGTCTTTTCTGTTTTGCTTTCAGACAGCAGTCTGTTATAGATATCAATAAAACACCATAGCATTAAAAAAAACATCTTAAAGCCACATACATTACAGCCACCATGGCATTTAATCATGGCAGCTGAATTGTAAACTAATAATGGAGTGAATCACTAGTTAACGCCCCACATGTGCTTTTCACACACACACACACACACACACACACACACACACACACACACAGATACATACTGTTCCATAGTCTGTATTTCTTGTCGCTCCCAACCTGTTCTGTTCTAAAAGAAAAACACTTTATTTCATTTAATATAGCAATTTAAATGGTGTCTTTACTGATTTCATCCCTATGGTATCTTGTAAATCTCTTTGAGTTTTGAATCATCTACCAACAAATGCTGTCCTGTAATGATCTCTAAAATTTTGCTTTGTCAGATTTATTTTTTTGCTTCTGTATGTTTGTCAGGCAATTTTACCTCTGTTTTCAGAACTTGAGGCTTTACAGATTGATATAGAGCATGAAATACACTCTTTTGAGGCTCTAATTTTTTATATGCTCGCAGCATTATTTTACTCATTTTTCTGTAAGAGACTAAGAATGCTAAGTCTGTTCTGGGTGGAAACTATTACTAAGTCAAGAACCCTTCTTTCCCATTGCTCCCAAGTTTTGGTCTTGGTCGTCATTTCTGGACAGAGCCACGTGAGCCCATGAATGGGAATTCTCTTGGTACCTCAGGGTAACAGGTTTCAACATTTTCTAGCAAGATACCATTATCTCCGTTGTTGTCCACTGAGGAATATTCCTGCTTGGTCTAGCATTTTTTTCTTTTACAGTTGTGTTACGTCGACCAGTTTAAGTTTGACAAAGAGGTACACGCTGCTTTTGAACCTAGTATGACCAAACACGAAGGCAGAGCATAGGCTGTGTGAGCAAAGAAGCTGTATACATTTTAGTACTAAAACCTGGGTATACTTTTGATGTCTAACAACAGGAATTGATAGTACAGTCTGTTGGTCTTTAACATTTTGGTTGTCTAAGGCTGTTTGGGGCATTTTGCTTCTTTTAAATTTTTTAAACATTTGTTTTCATTGATTTTCAGAGACAGGAAGGTAGAGATTGAAACATCAATTGGCTGCCTCCTGCACGCCTCCTACTGGGGATAGAGCCATGTGTCCTGACGGGAATGGAACCAGCAAATAGATGCTCAGCCACTGAGCCATGCTGGCCTACCTTCTCTTAAATTGAGGGTGTCTTTATTCTGTCTCAGGGTGCCGAAGCAGCCAACGTGACTGGCCCAGATGGAGTTCCTGTAGAAGGGAGCCGTTATGCTGCTGATCGGCGCCGTTACAGACGCGGTTACTATGGCAGACGCCGTGGACCTCCCCGCAATGTATGTTGGCCTCTCTTCCTAATTGGTGATTGCAGAGACATTCACATCTGAAATGGAGTGTACAAACATAGAGCTGATGAATACTGTGTCTTCTCCTGGCAACACAAACACAAAATGATTGTTGTTTGTTGGTTTTGATGCAAAAATTTTCATATCCGGAATTTATGCATAGCCACTGGTCTCATTACACTTGCCATTGAAAAGTTGTATCAGTTTGTATGTACCTGGCTGCAAATACCAGACATTTAACCATCTTATAACAAGAAAGCTTAACTAAGATAGGCTATGCCAAGGTGGTCAAAAAGGCATTCTCTTCACTGAGCTCTTTCCAGGGACCAGAATCTTGCCTTAGGGCATTCACTGGTGAAGGAAAATGGGATTGGCTCAAACCTGTGGTTCATTCCGTGGCACTGGCACTGGCACTGGCACTGCTAGTCTCTACGAAAGTCAGCGTTTGGTTGGCAAGGAAGAATAGGGATAGATTGGGGAGAGGCAATAAACTGTTGGCTGCAGAAATATTAAATTTGCCTCAAGTAAGTGGCTATTTTATTTATTTTTTAAAAATTTCTTTATTGATTATGGTGTCACATAATTGTCCTCATCCCCCCATTCCCATCCCAAACCCCACCCCTGTTGACTGTGACCTCTGGTTAGGCTTATATGCATGCACACAAGTCCTTTGGTTGATATCTCCCCTTTGCCCCCACCCTCCCCTACCTTCCCTCTGAGGCCTGACAGTGGCTAGTTTATTTTGCATAGCATTTGCTTTATTTTAAAGGGTAGAAGTAGTAAGTAATTGTCTGGATCTATCATTCTTCAGATTAGTATCAATCCAGGTGAAAGGCTTTACAACCAAGTCTCTGTCTTAGGAGGCGCTCTATAAATACTTTTTAGAGCACCCAAAAAGAATCCCACTTATCTGTGTTCATGAGGATTCTATAAATTTGAGTCACTTTTTGATGTTTCTAGAATTAGTACCTGGGACTGGCACCACAGCATAAAACTCCAGATGTTTTGTGGGTGCAGGGTTGTGGCTATGCTAGTTACCCAAGAAGAACTTGAAAAATCTCACCAGAATAGAATACATGCAGGTTGAGAATGGTCTGTCCCCATGCTTTGATAGACTTACATCTTTCTGCTTTGCAGAATGCTTTCCTTCTTCATTCTGTCATCTTCTCATCCTGCCCAAATTGATTTTTATCAGATTGCTGATGGCATCTTATTTCCTGTTTCTGTATTTTTCTTACCCACATTTTGCTTATTCTGTTTTTGTTTTGTTTTTTCAATAAGCTGTGCAGGGCGTGGAGGTAGGAATGAGCATTTACTATATCGGGTTATCATCAGATTCACGGAGCTTGTAGTTGTAATTATTTTGACTCCTAGGTTCATTCAGAAGTACAGTGGTAGAACCTTTAATGAAGAATTTTCCCTATGGAGACTTTTCTCCTCAGCTGGAAATTTGAAGTCATTCATGTAAAAAATATTTAGAAATGTCAAAATTCTTAAAGTGTACATAAATGTTTTTCTGTTACAATGTTTTTAAGTCCTTAGAGCTCGAGAGCATGTTTGTTAATGGTGCTGCCATTATTCTCATTGTGTAAAAATGAGAGATTGTCTGTATACAGCTCAAAAAGATACAGAAAGCCTAAAAGAAAAAGAAAAAACGTATGAAGTCTCACACTTCATATTTTGGTGAACATTTTTTATATTGGGAATCACATCTGATTCAGGCTGTATGAAGTTTGAATGGCTTGATTTGTCTGAAAAGCTCGTTGAAGCGTTTCCTGTTGGGGAATTTAGTTGCCCATGTTGGCTTAAACTGGAGAGTTCTAAGACTTAAACATCCTCACCCTCCAGGAGAAATGTGTCATTATGTTAATTTTTAATTTAGCTATTTTTTTAATAACCATCGTTACTTCCCATAAGACTACTTTGGCATCTGCATATCCCACTTTAAAGTAAGATTTTAAATAAGTTTCTTGAGGGATGTTAGCTTTTATTTTTTTAATATAAACTACTAATATAGGAGTTGAAATACAGGAAATACAGGAAAAGTTACATAATGGGTCAATAATTTACTTTGCTGGTAAGACCTGTATATATATATTTTTTTAAATTTAATGTATTTTTATTAATTTCAGAGAAGAAGGGAGAGAGAGAAACATTGATCAGCTGCTTCCTACATGCCTCCCCACTGGGGATCGAGCCTACAACCCAGGCATGTGTCCTGACCCGTAATTGAACCATGATCTCCTGGTTCTTAGGTTTACGCTTAAAACACTAAGCCATGCTGGCTGGGCATTAAGATCTATATTTAGAAACTACCTGTATCTATTACTTATTACTATCTGTTAAGGTACAATTAAAACTTTATTCTTGAAAATATAAAGAAAATCTAACTTTTTCCATGAAATTAACTTTTTCCATTTAATTGTACCTATCTGTTAAGGTACAATTAAAACTTTATTCTTGAAAATATAAAGAAAATCTAACTTTTTCCATGAAAATTTAACTTTTTCCATGAAGAGTGGTGTTGCTTGATGTTTATGTAGATTTCTGATGTTTGATTTCATAGAAGACAGCTGAGTTCTCACATCTCCTGCACTCAGTCTGTTGAGACCACATGTCAATGGAGCTCTGGGAGACCCCACCGTACACTCATGTGATTATGAGATGGGAACAAGCAATTAGCACTCTCATGGCATTTTGAAAATAGTTGGACCTTGACAGCCCCCCGAAGGGTTATGGAGACCCTGTCCACACTTGGAAAATAGCTGTAGGAAGTATACTTTGTGGAACAAACTGTTGATAACACTACAAAATATATTTTTTCTTGACTGCCCTGACTTTGCCCCCGTGGATGGCAAATGTTGGGAGACACACATGTTGGCCAAGGTAAATATTATTAAGATTGTAGATGTTCTTTGGGTGGTTGGTCAACTGATACTCATCAATCCTAATTAGATGACTTAAAATTATTATAGAATGATTGCTTTTGCTTTTCTGCTTCTTGGTATTTTATCTGCATAGATCTACTTTAATCTCAATGTTGTTTATCCCAGGTTATCACATAATGATCTGGGTTAAATGCACTTTGTATAAATAAAAGGATTATTCCTTTTGGGGAGGTGTTTTTCTTTTGGTGATAATTCACCCTAAGTGGTATTCTTTGGTTCTTTCCTTGCTGAAACTTCTTCTGAACCTCTGTTTCTTTGCTTCGCTAGTACGCTGGGGAGGAGGAGGAGGAAGGGAGCGGCAGCAGTGAAGGATTTGACCCCCCTGCCACTGACGGGCAGTTCTCTGGGGCCAGGAGTCAGCTGCGCCGCCCCCAATATCGCCCTCAGTACCGGCGGCGGTTCCCGCCTTACCACGTGGGACAGACCTTTGACCGTCGCTCACGGGTCTATCCCCATCCCAACAGAATGCAGGTAAAATTGCACCTGGGACTTCTCTTCAGCAATCCTCACCCTTCCGTCCTTCCTCTGCCTCTTTCTCCTCCTCCTCCTCCTCCAACACCAGCCGCTGGAAATAAAACCTTGCTTGTGGCTTCCTGGTGCTGCAAAAGCTGAGGCAAGGCCTTGGGTCTTTCAATCCTAGTAACATTTCTAAAAGCACAGCCACGTGAGCCGTGCCTACAACTGGGGACACTGGTGGGTAGGTTACAGTTTCTAGTTTCTAGTTTATGGAAGAAGGAAAGTAGAGAGACCAATGGTATGCTTAAGAGCTTAAACTCTGAAGTCAGACAGACCTGGATTTATTTAAATCTTGTCTCTGCTACTTAATATCTGTGAAATTTTGGGAAAACCAAACTGTAAAGAGATTAACTTACTCATACATTAAATGGTAATAATAATAATGTGCCTCCATCCTGGGGCTCACTATGATTAAATCAAAGATAAGGACTTCAGTGCGATGCCTTAGGATAGCTAACACCTGTAAAGTCCTTAATTTAGGTAAGATGGTGTGGATTAAGAAACCCTACCAGAGGGTTTTTTTAATCACAAAATATTGATACAACTACTGTAGGAACCTGACCTGTAATGAATGAGCCTCATAACAACTTAATTTAGGTAAGATGGTGTGGATTAAGAAACCCTACCAGAGGATTTTTTTAATCACAAAATATTGATACAACTACTGTAGGAACCTGACCTGTAATGAATGAGCCTCATAACAACTTCCCAGTCCCTGGAAATTTGGGAAACTTGGGACGGGGCATCCTTTTTGTTACCCCTAGCTACAAACACTTCCTCTTAGTGCCCTTGGGTTGTTTTTCCATCAAGTGTTTTGACTGAACACTATGTTCAGTCCGTTCTCTACTACCCTTCTCATGTCCCATCATGCATGACTGTGTTCTTTCTGCATTGCTCCTTGTTTTTTCTCTTCACTCTTTCACAGCTGTCCCTGACAAACGTGCTAAAAATAACAAGTAGACTTGCGTACATGGAGAGATTGGGTACGTGAGGCGCAGGCACAGTAGGCTCTGTTAGGAGGGCTTCCAGGAGGACAGGAAGTCAGTGAGACTGCCATGCACATCTATTTTCAGTGCTGACAGTACCATCCTGAAGAAGCCATTGTTAGTATTTACCATATGCACATGATGATTCTTTTCTGTATTTGAAATAAAGTATATTTCACCTTAGGATTTGAAGGTGGAGAGTAAAGTGACTCTGGAGTGCCTTGTAGAATCTCATTTACAGATGCTGGTTGAAAAGTTAATTTTTGAAATTTGTGCTTATTCTGATAACTGCATATATAGTTCTTTAAATGTGGCCTGGATTTTTTTTACTTTACATTTCATATCTGAATTAAAAACCTGTCTTAGACTTTTTCCCACAGTTTTCCTTACACTCTTTCTAATACATGCCATGTTTGGATGTTCACTGAGTGAATTAACTAATAACATCAAGTGAAAATTCCTGAAACTTCCTTCCATAAAACTAGGCTACCTCAAGGTTGTCAGTGTAATGACTTACAAGTACTGAGAGATATCTAGATGGTAAAAATTACTGAGTTCATACAGAAAAGTCTAATATTTTCTACAACATACAAAAACTGACATTTATTGGACACAACAGGGAAAACAATATGCAGGCCACTAGTGTTTCTCTTATGTACCAAGAACATAATATAGCATGGACAGTGATCAAATGACTTTCGTGTTCTTATATATAAAATTGATTTTTTTTACAGAGAGGAAGGGAGAGAGAAACATGGATGAGAGAGAAATGTGGATCAGCTGCCTCCTACGTACCATCCATTGGGGATGTGCCTGCAACCAAGGTACATGCCCTTGACTGAAATTGAACCTGGGACCTTTCAGTCCGCAGGTTAACGCTCTATCCACTGAGCCAAACGGGTTAGGAAGATGAGGAGCCTAGCAAATGACATTAGAAGGAACAGGTAGAAAGAAAAAAAAGTATTTTAAGAGGAAATGCTGCCCAAAAAATAGCGGGAGTTAGGTTGAGAATTGATTACTGGGTTTGGTAACTTGGGAGGTTAGTGATATGGTGAGAACAAAAATCTAGTCAGAATGAATTTAAGAGAAAGCCACGATGGGGGAGGGGGGAAGAAAAGGTATTTTCTTCCCCTTTGAGGAGGTTTCTGTGGTGGTGATGAGTTTCCTTTAGCAGGTATTTCTGTAAAGGAGCTCAAAGAAATGGGGCAGTATCTGGAGGAGGATCTGAGGTTAGGGCAAGGTTTGGGGTTGATTTTATTTCACATTAGTGAGTTCTGTCCTGGTTTCCCTTAGCCCTTCCCTCACCAACTACTTACTCATGATGCATTAGATGAGCAGATCAAATGACACATACACACACATTCATACATTCATACACTTGTTTATTTATGAGTAGTTTATGTATGTGTGCATATATATTTGTACATGGTGGTCCTTATTTCTGTTCACTGAAATGGCCTGAAATCAGTGACACCTGGATAGCACTGAGCTTCCTAAGCACCATTCTCTAATAAAAGGAAGCTCCTTTCGAGAAATGGCTGATTTCAGATCTGAACCACAGAAAGTACAATATGAACCTGGAACATCTTGTCATGCCAGAAAGCAAGGAAGTACTCAGAGAATGTTGGAAACATGTCAAAAGGACATGAGGCAGCTTGAATGGGTTCCCATTGGCCAGTAATTATAGTAACAGATTATAACCCATTGAATAAAATAGAAAACCATGAGTCTGTGTAGATATACATGAATGTATTGAATTTGACGAGGAATGAAATATTTATATACTTTGAAATTACTTCACAAAATCCTTCTTAATTACAAAGGAGAACAGTAAACCTAGCTCTGGCCGGTGTGGATCAGTTGGTTGAGCAGTCATGTGCACCAGAAGGCTGCTGATTTGATTCCAGGTCAGGGCACATACCTAGGTTGCAGGCGCCCTCCTGGTCTGGGTGCGTGTGGGAGGCAGCCAATCAATATTTTCCTCTCACATCCCTGTCTCTCTCCTTTCCCTTCTCTCTAAAAAAAAAAAAAAGTACAGCCGAAACCGGTTTGGCTCAGTGGTAGAGCGTCGATCTGCGGACTGAAAGGTCCCAGGTTTGATTCTGGTCAGGGGCATGCACGTTGGTTGCGGGCACATCCCCAGTAGGGGGTGTGCAAGAGGCAGCTGGTCGATGTTTCTCTCTCATTGACGTTTCTAGCTCTCTTTCTCTCCCCCTTCCTCTCTGTAAAAAAAATCAATAAAAAAAAGGTACATTTAAAAAAAAAGTACAAATCTATAAAAACATATTTAGAAAAATAAAAAGGAAACCTACAGCAAAGGAGCCTTAGAAGATAGATACCACCTCAGCTACTGCTCAACACCAACACTATCAGTAGGGTGCAAATTGAAGCCAGACTCCACCTGGCAGGAGACAGAAGAATGCCGTGTCATTTTCGTGGCTTCCCTGCCATCCTCACAAACTGGAGCGTGGGGAACACCCAGCAACCCACACTGCGGTATATTTTACAGACTCTCTGGTCTGTAATCTTTTTTCTTTAAGGAATAATTTTACTTTTATTATTATTTTATATATATTTATTTCAGAAAGGAAGGGGGAGAGAGCTAGAAACATCAAGGATGAGAGAATCATTGACCGGCTGCCTCCTGCAGGCCCTCCACTGGGGATCACTCCTGCAAGCCAGGCATGTGCCCTTGACCGGAATCGAACTCAGAGCTCTTCAGTCCATAGGACACCAAGTAGAAATTGAGAAACTGTCAGAGAGACAACTAAATTCAAGGCATGGTGCTAAGTGGGTCTTTTTTTTTTTTTTTTTTTTTTTTTTTTGCTATAAAGGACATTATTGGTAAGACTTGAATGGGGTCTGAGGATTAGATTATACGTTTGTTATTATTTCAAAATAATTGAAAACTAGGGGTGTTATTTCAGCATGTTCATGGGCTTGGGTGGAAACAATGGAGCGAAGAGGGGAGAAAATACAGAGTGAAGGGGGTGGATAGGGAGAGGGGTTGACCATGGATATGAGCTTTGGACCACTTAGCCAGTGTGTAATGAGAGAAGACAGTTATTATAAATACAGATAGCTTAGTAGATTCTGTAGTGAAACGATATAGAAAGTATTTTCTGATTGCTTCTTCATGAAATTTGGAGAAGAAAGAGGTGTTAGTTTTGAGGGGGGGAGATTGTTTGAGATTGTGACTGTATTGTAATGAATTTTAGAGATTGTTGGAATTTCAGAGGTTGGTCGGTGGGTTTTTAATTTTTATTTTATTTTAGTTTTTTGTTTGTTTTTAGTTTTTATTCTTCCTCTAGAAGTTCTACAATAAAGTTATTTTTTCCCCACAGCTTACAATAAATTTGTCACCAAGAAAGTGTACTTTATTTTTTAAATGTTATGCTTAAAAAGTGCAAATAAATACAAGGTAGAAATTGTGAAAGGAAGAAATCAGGTGAAAGCATGATTATAAGGTGTGAGAAATTTTGAATTAGAAACCATCAGTGATATTGAAGGGACACCCAGTTTGTAGAATTAGCAGGTCAGAGTTTGAAAAGATTGTTATAGCTCAAAAGTAGTAGTTTTTTTTTTGAAGAGATAAATGGAGCACTTGAAATGTTAAATTAATATTGTGAAGTGAAATTAGTCGCTCTGGAGTAAGGCAGAATACTGTTATAAGTGGGAACGAGTTTTTCTTTCTTTTCTATCCTTCATGAAGGTATAGTCAGGAAATAGTTTACTGTTACAGTTGAGAGTTCCCAGCTTTGTAAGGAAGCATTTTTCTTACTTTTTAAAAATTCCGAATACAGCCGTGTGCTCTGTGTTTCCTGTATCCTGTAGCACAGCACTCATTTCCAGCCCTATTCCCTTCTAGGCTGGTGAGATTGGAGAGATCAAGGATGGAGTCCCAGAGGGAGCTCAACTTCAGGGACCGGTCCATCGAAATCCAACTTACCGTCCGAGGTACCGTAGGTACGTCACATTCACGAAGGCGTGACCCGCTGAAGGACTCAGGAGTGATGGTAGAATGTGTGAGGATGTTCTGGGTCTGTTCTGAGGACTTATTATGGAATGGAAGATGTGTTCACGTTTAGGGGAGACTCTGCAGTATATGTTTTCAGATGGCCTGTGACACTTGCCCCTTCCTTAAATAATAAAACTTATAGTTATCCCTGTACCAAACCATTAGTTGTATTTGATAGCATTCTTATGTTTTAATTATAAATTAATACTTATTTTTAAATAATAGTTAATGAAATAAGCAGAAATTAATTGATGAGTAATTCACTGGGAGAGGGGGAAGATTGAGTGCCACAGAGTATTTGGGATACTACATATTCTGTTAACTGAGCCAGTTTAGTGTAAGAGTTAAATCAGGCTATGGGTCAAGTTGTCTGATTCAATTCCCAACCTGCAGTTGGTAGCTATAACTCCTTTGACAAGTTTGTAAACTCTCTAAGACTTAGTACTAGGCCTATAAAATGAACATTAATGGCTATTCTACAGTTGTCATTAGGGTTAAATGTATAAAGGAGCATCTAACTGAGATAATTAGTATGTTGCCTGGTATAGTAAGTGCTCAGTAAATACCACTACCCATGATGTTAACGTTAGTGAAGGAGCGGGTTATTTTATTTGTGTCCTGTCCCTGCAAAGACTGAAAATTGAACTAGATTTCCTAAGATCCTTTTCAGCTTTTTGTATTATAAGCCTTCCTGTTTGTTCTTTGCCCTGTCCTTGAGGTAAGTGAAGAAGCATTTCATTCCTGAATCACAGATAGACCACCTGGAAGTTGGGCAATAGGGCTTGATGGAAAGGAAAGTGCTAGTAAGTGTAGAATTTGGGGAAAGGATTTGTGCCATTCTGCATCCTTCTCACAATTGATTCCAGTTTTAGGCATAATCACTCTATAAGGACTGATTACTAAGGACTTTCAAATAAGGGATATTTCATAGAAATGTCTTCATGAAAACTGAGGAGACAGGAACTGTATTTGAGTCCAGCTCTGTCGATTCCCAGCTGTGTGATCCTGGCAAAGTAACAGTTGACCCTTTTTGACCTATAAAAGCAGCCACCCCATGTGATTCAAACAAGTACTTACTCTCTCTGAACCTGTTGGTCTTCTCACTGCGAGTCTAACTCACAGAATTGGTGTTGAAATTAAATAACTTCACGTGTAAACATTCCAGCACAGGCTCTGGCACCTGGTGGCTGTTTTCTTCCTGTGTTCAATCCCCATAGTCTCCACAAAGCTCTGTTCCTGGAGGGCAGCACCAGACCACTTTCCTTCTTTGGTTTTCCTCTCCATAGAGCCTCTCAGAGTGCCTGGTAGGAATATAGGGTATGTTTATGCACTACAGATAGGTATTCAGGTGAAAGGGGAAAAGGATGGGATTTTTTTTTTCCCCACCAAAACTTTGTTCCACTTGTTTTATTAGCCTGTGCATAATTCTAGTAATAAGTACCTACCTGGTCACTTGGACTCTTTAATTTCTAGAAATGAACAAAACCTATGTTCTTGAGGGTCCCTGTCGCCTTGCACTTTTTCTCTCTTTGTTTTGTGATCTCTGTTCTAGGGGGCCTCCTCGCCCACGACCTGCCCCAGCTGTGGGAGAAGCTGAAGATAAAGAGAATCAGCAAGCGGCCAATGGTCCAAACCAGCCCTCCGTTCGCCGCGGATACCGGCGCCCGTACAACTACCGGCGCCGCCCCCGTCCTCCTAACGCTCCTTCACAAGATGGCAAAGAGGTAAATGCAGCCAGCCGGAGGGGGTGGTGCCGGATTATTCTTAATCATGTCAAACGTCAGCATTCTATTGTAAGAGTGGTTTTATAGTCTGATAGTCTATATTATACTTAAGTATATGTATATATAAAAATAAGTATCTTTACATATAATGGTTAATGTAAAATGTCATTTATAAATAAGTTATTTACACATGTGATTTTATATATAAGTAGTATCCACATATATTTTCATATATCTATATTAACATTTTGCTTAAGGTCCATACATATATAGAGTATTCTCTGTACATCACACAAACCAAATATTTGAGTTTTAATTAAATTGACATTTGAATGAATCCCCCATCCTGGCGGGGATTCAGAGCCAAAAATGTGTAGGGCTGTCCAAGTAAAGGACAGCATTTACAGAGAGGAACCCGCCTGTAAGTGTGTGGAGAGTAATTGTTTTGTTACAGAGAGTGGCCGGGTTTAATTTGCTATTTGGAAGTCATTCTTTGTGATACTGATTTTTGACTCATACTTGAGAGTAGATAAAATTTTGTACGGTGATTTGCCTCCATAGGCAAAAGGACTCCAACTTTTGAGACTTTTTAGTCTTGAACTTTCCACTGTCACCTGAATTGCTTCATTTCTGGTTTGTGAAAGTGTTCTGTGTTTTAGAACAAGGCAGGTGACGTGCCATCCGAGAACCCTGCTCCGGCCACCGAGCAGAGCAGTGCTGAGTAACATCAGGCTCCCCAGGCACCTTCACCATCACTAGGTAAGAGCTCAGGCAGCCCAGGCTTTTGTGGGTATTTATTTTATTTTTTTAATGTCATTGATTTCTCAACCAGAGCACAAATCAGTCTGAACTAGTTCTGTGATTTACCTGGACCATTCCCTCATCTCCATTGTGATTTTGAAGAAAGTGGTTAAATATCTCTGAGATTTACTTTTTTTTTTTTTGCTAAGCTTTGGGGACATAAGCATTCAAACAGGTAATAAGAGCCAAATTCTTTTTTCTAGATAGACAGGTTTTTTTTTTTTTTTAGCCGGTCAGTTTTTAACTATTACAGTATTAATATGGTATACCAATAAGAAAGTTTGGAAGTTTTACTTTTCTGACACCTAGTGGCCAATTTGATCATTTTCAAGTGCCTGACCAGGCCTTATTTTAACATCTGGAGACTAATTTGTAGAATAAATTAGAGGTTTTTTTTTGTTTTGTTTTGTTTCCTTTGACAAGCAACGTGATTCATTTGGAGGCAGTGGGGACAATGTGTAGGAGCCCAAAGGCCTGTACATCCAGTGTGGGATCTGCTGCTCATTTGCTCGGTGATCTTGAGCAGTTTGTTTACCCTCTCCCTCGGCAATGTCTGCTGCTGGGAAAATGGGAACACCAACAGACTTTATCCACCAAGGTCCTTGCAAAGATTTAATGAGACAACACCTGGGAAGTGGTTAAACAGAGCAGTAAAGAATAACCTCTTTGTAAAGGTTAGCTTGTTAAGCTTCATTATGGTTTCATTATTATGTCCTGACTGTTCTCGTTTATAAAAATATTTATGGAAAAGAGTTTTCATTAAATCAATGCACAGTTTGCAAATCTAGAAAAGATATACATGTACATTTTGCTTAGATGCTTACAGCTTTTGAAATACTTTTTTTTTTTTCCTTCAAGAAATCAGGCTATTTTTGTCTTTTTATTCTTTAACTCGTCGTCATTTTGTCACTTTTTATAAGCTCGATTTTAATTTTTTCCAGGTGACCTAAAGAATTAATGACCATTCAAAAAAAAATAAACGAAACAAAAAGCAGACACAACCTTACCAACACCAAAGAAACAGCCAAGCAATAAAGTGGAAGACTAATAACCGAGATGTGGACATTGGAATGTTTACGGATTATTCTTTACGAAACAAGTACAAAACGAGAATGTCAGCCAATGTTTCCAGCAATTTTTCTGGAATGCCTGCACAGAAGACAAGAGAGCAGCCTCCCCAGTTTCGGCAACCACTAGGTTTATATTTTTTTCCTGGTTTTTACTGTTTTGGTAATATGAATTGAAAGAAGAAATATTAATACCACATGGGGAGAACCCCAACCAAAGAAATCTGAAATATATAGTAAATGCTTTTTTGTTCCCTTTTCTAGTTCATTTTGGATGCTGGTGCTAAACTTCCAAGTGTCATGATTTAAAAAGAAATTTTATGCTCTTCTTATTTATTTCTAGATGAGGGGAGGATAACATTTTTGCTTTCTTATGCGACTCTCTGAAAATGTGCAGCATGAAGTTCCTCAAAAAATAAAATTTTTATCCTTGAAAGGAGAAGGTGTATAGCTAGAGTATGTTTTCCTGTCTCAGTGTGTGTTTTATTCTCTCTCCCCCTCCCCCCCAGTTAATTCACTTGACTTAATAGTAAGCTCAAAACCAAACTAAAGGTGCACTCTATCTACCCTGTTTCCCCGAAAATAAGACAGTGTCTTATATTAATTTTTGCTCCCAAAGATGCGCTAGGTTTTATTTTTCCATGAAGAAGAATATGGTACACATTTATTGTTAAATTAAAATAAAGGAAATTTATTACTTGTATACGGTACAGTAGTACGGTAGTTGTCAACACAAACTTGAATCCTACAGTATCAAGAATTGACTCATTTATTCAATTTACTCAGTCATTCAATTAAATGACAATCATGTTATCATCTTCTGGAACATCATAACAATCTAATTCCTGAATTTCCTGGTAAATTTCTTGTGACTCCATTTCTTTCAGAATCAGTGGACCAAATCTCTCATGTTTAGCCTAGGGGGGGGGGGGAGCTTATTTTCGGGGGATGCCTTATATTTCACTCAGAAGGAAACCTGTAAATAGGTCTTATTTTTGGAGGATGTCTTATTTTTGGGGAAATGCGGTAATAAACATAGGCATATGCATTTGAGATGGTAAATGCGTTTGGAATGTGCGTCAGAATGAACAAGTTGGTGTCTGAGTTCAGCAGTTGAGCGTCCTTTTGTTTCTCTGGTCCTCTGTACCTTTGGAGTAATCTTCACTGAGGTGAGTGGATGGCATGCAGGTTAAACGGCTTCCTTTAGATCAGTGGTTCTCAACCTTCCTAATGCCGCGGCCCTTTAATACAGTTCCTCATGTTGTGGTGACCCCCAACCATAAAATTGTTTTCTTTGCTACTTCATAACTAATTTTGCTACTGTTATGAATCGTAATGTGAATATCTGTGTTTTCCGATGGTCTTCGGTAACCCTGCTGGCGGTTCTTTGCTGCCTGCACCAGCCCCGCTCACCTGCTGCTGGCACCTGGTGCTGGTCCTGATTGCTTGACACGGCGCTGCAAGTGGGTACAAGTGGTGGCTGCCCTGATAGCCCCTGAGGGCTTCTCCACCTCCTCCTGCTCCTGAGGAGTGATCACTGCCACTTGCACCTGCTGAAGGTGCAGACCCCTCATCCCTGCCCCGTACCCACTGCTGGTGCCAGCCCCAATCGCTCTGCTCTGTCAGAGTGTGGGAGCGGGCTGCAGCATGAGAGGCCAGGCAGGGGTGTGGAGGATGGACCGAGACTTGCCCCTGTGCCCACCGCAGCCTCATGGCCCAGTTCCTTTCAAGGTGCACGGTTTTGTGCACTGGGCCCTGCTTATGGTATAAGTGTCCTGTTTAATAGGAAAAATCAGGAAAGGAAATAGGTGCTGATATAAATCTCTGAAATAAGTTGATCTTGTCAGTGTCCAGGGTAAGACTTCATCAACTTGGTCTTTTCCTGGGATCTTATCTGGTAAACTAGCTTGATTTCCTTCTGCAATAATTACAGGATTTTAAAAGTCTTTACATGGTAGATTTACTTATTGGAGAGATCTCTGTGTCAGCAATAGGAAAGATATGCCAGGAATGGAGGCCAGTTGGAGGCCTATTCTCCAAAGAGGACATACAGATGGCCCATATACAGGCTAAAAGATGCTCACCGTTATAATCATCAGAGAAATGCACATTAAAGCCACAGTGAGATCACCTCACACCTGTCAGGATGGCTGTCACCAACAAATCAACAAGCATTGCAAAGATGTGGAGAAAAGGGAAGGAACTCATGCGCTGTTGGTGGGAATGCAGATTCTTGCAGCTACTGTGGAAAGTAGCATTAAGTTATCTCAAAAAATTAAAAATACCTATGTCCCAGTAATTCCATTTCTGGGAATATGTCCTAAGAAACCCAAAACACTATTTTGGAAGAATACATTCACCCCTATGGTCTTTGCAGTGTTATTTATAACAGCCAAGTTTTGGAAGCAGCCCAAGTGTCCCTCAGTAGGTGAGTGGATAAAAACCCTGTGGTACATTTGCACAATGGAGTACTGCTTGGCTGTAAAAAAAGAAGGAAATCTTACCTTTTGCAACAGCTTGGACCTGAAGAGTATTATGCTAAGTGAAATAAGCCAGTCAGAGAGAGGCAGAGACCATGTGATTTCAATTATATGTGCAATCTAATGAACAAAATTAACAAAATAGAAACAGATACAGAGAATAGAATGACAACTATCAGGAGAGAGGAGAAGCACAGGGTGAAAAAGGTGAGGGGATTAATAATAATAGTAGTTATAATTATATAAACCCATTGGTGATTACCAGAGGGAAAGGGGAATAAGGGAATACCTGATCCCCAATAGGGAGTGTGCAGGAGGCAGCCAGTCAATGTTTCTCATCAATGTTTCTAACTATTCTCTCTTCCTCTCTGTAAATCATAATTTTATTAACCAATGTCACCCTAATTCAATAAAAAATAACTACACACACACGCACACACAAAAGCCTATTACCATAATTCAGCCAAGAAAAGGGAGTGAACTCGAGATAATAGAAAAGAGGGATGATAGAAATTTAAAAGAAGGACTTCCCTAGGCTTATTCGATGGGGCATCAGCCTGAGGACGGAAGGGTCCCAGGTTCGATTCCAGTCAAAGGCACGTGCCTCGGATCCAGGCTTGATCCCCTGTCCTGGTTGGACTCATGCTGGAGGCAACTAGTCGATCTGTCTCACAGGGATGTGTCTCAGTGTCTCTCCCCTTCCCTTCCACTCTAAAAATCAATGAAAAAATATCCTTGGGTGAAAATTACAAACAAAAAAATAAAAAATGAAAGGTAGAAGGACTATACTTAATGCCATATGATGGGACAGAATGGGCTGAAAAAGTAGTAAGTGTTGATGCAACATTTCAGAGCTTTCTAATGTGCAGTTAAGTGGATATACTCAGCTTGACGCTTATAGCCCCTTAGGGAGATAAGTAACTTTTCTGAAAATCATACTCAGAGTATTAATTAGTATCAATCTTTAGAGAATTATTTAATGGCATAGATTAAAGCCCTGCTTTTTTTTTTTTTTTTTTTTTTTTTTTTTTTTTTTTTTTTTTTTTTACCATTATCAACAAAGTAGGTAGACTTTTAAAAAATTAACTTGTAATTGACCATACTTCAATAATTTAGCCAAAAAGGTCAGAGATTTGATTCAGGATTATTATGGCTTATTTAGTTTTTTTTAAATCCTCATCTGAGGATATTCTTTCCATTGATTTTCAGAGAGTGCATGCGTGTGAGAGAGAGAGAGATAGAGAGACATACATCAATGTGAGAGAGAAACATCTATCGGTTGCTCTCCTTATGCACTTAACCAAGGATTGAACCTGAAACTGGGTATATGCAGAAATAACCACCTGTCAGGGATGGTGGAACTGAAAATTGCTGAAA